AACTTCCAGAGCTGTAAAGCCTTTTTACTCTACAGGTCAGTGATGACCAATAATTGCATTTTTATCTTAATATGTGAGAGCACTCCCCATAAGTAAGTTCTCATTCATCTAATGAAACAGACTTCTTTCCAGTCCAAGAAATATCTTTGTCCTACCCAAATTCACCATTCCCAAGTAGTTCTATCTTACAGGCACTGGTCTAATGCTTCTTTTCCTTACACAACTCGAGAAACATTTTCTCTTCCCAACATCATTCTTTCATTCAAGCAGTGACTGCACTTAACCTGCTAGGTCCTGAAGCCACTGTAACCCTCTGTGACTTAGAAGAATGGGATTTTTTATGTTTTCACCTGCTGATGAGACCATCATCTTTCTTCTAACTCCCTTAACCCCTGCTAGGTGAATAAGACTTTAAGTGCTACACTCAAAACTTTTATGTGGATGATACCAATCTTTACATGCTGCAGTTTTATTTCACACTTCAGACAGAATAATACCATCCCTGTATTCTCACTCCAAGATCATTGTTTCAAATCCATCTGCAAACTCAAAGACAAATGTACAGCTCCTTCAATCCAATTGTATTTTCTTAAAAAAAAAAAAAATCCATTTGAAAAGATTTAAAAATTAAAGTTTGCACACATTGCATAACCTACAAAAATACAGTAGGTGAGGAAGCAGGCTGACAATCTCACAGTTTACATCTTTGCTCTAGAGACAGGAAACATCTCTGGACAGCAGGACTGTTGAAGAGCAGACATTCATTACTTCCATAAAGGTAGTCTACAGGTGAGAGTACAGAACCTCTGCAAAATGGTGACAGTCAAAAACTGCAGGGAGTGATAGGGAAGGAGACAAGAAATAAAGCAAGAATGTGCCTTCCAGTGTGCAAAACCAGACAAAGGCAATGAAAAAGAAAAAAACTGTACAAGACTTATTCCCCTTCCCTTATCTGACAGGAACTCTTCACATAAAAATTTCAAAGACTCTCCTCATTTTCAGGATGAAGGATTATACAGCAACAGATTTCTAAGCATTTAGTTTATGCAAAACATATTAACACCATTGGAAGTACCATGAGCAGCAAAGCGATGCCAGAAAACTGGTATCACCTGCTTCAGATGCTGACATAAGATGCACAGGAACAAACACACTACCCTAAGTCATAGCTGTCATGGAAGAGAATCTTCCACACACTGACTTGTTTACATAGAATTTCTCAAATATTTTCAAACAAAATTCTTTGCAGCATGTAAAAAAAAATTAATCTGATAAAAAATTAGGATTTATTTCCTTATGAAATCAACAAGCTTGACTTCTTTCACTTACTAGTATAGATAGGCCTCTAGCTGTGTTTATATTACATTACGCTACATTCAGGCTTAAATGGCTTTCCTGGCAAAAAAAGGGTTTAGATTTGTTGACAGATTTATTCTAAAAGCAAATTTCTCCTCTATCTCTCCAGAGCAGCTTCAGTAAGTCTGGATAGAAACCAACATCTGTATAGTACTACTGAGTATTAATACACTAAATTCTCCCTACTATAATATTAGGTGATATTTAGACCTTGACCTCTATAAAAAGTACTTAAAGAGGAACAATCAGTTTGTATCAAAATAAGTACTTACAGGCACAGACTGCCACCTAGTGATTTTTATTATCTACAGAAGAAAATCAAAGCAAAACCCACCAAACCTCCCCCTTCCAGGGCAGGAAGGAAAAAAAAAAAACCAACACATACACATTTATTCCTTCATATTTTAAATCAACATTTAGAAACAACCTCCTATCATACCACTTGTATCCTCTATTATTATGCTGATGGTAAATGCAGGAAGAGAATGAGGAAAGAAAAATTAGTAAGTGTCTATAATCTTCCTTTTACAGGTAAGATTAACAGGGTTGCTTGTTCATCAATTCTGACTGGAATTCCTCCTTATTTTCCATGGACTCCAGCTAAGCACTGCATCTAGAATTTATTTAATCTTTAAGACAACACTGACAGATAGCCATACCCCTCTCAAAATTTTGGATTCCACCAATTTTTGCACTTTCAGTATTTCCTGGTACTCCTCAACATTTTAAGTATATTTGCAGTACATCCTTTAGTCCATTTTTGCTATTCCCTCTTCAGCCACTGTCTGTTTTCTACAGGATTTCACTATTAGTGATGATGGAAGCCAAGTTACCTGTGTCATATTATTTGCCTTACAAAGCTGAATGAATAGGTGAATGACTAAAATTGACCTTGTCTTCAGGCTTCTCTTTCTTTCCAAACTTGTATTTCACATATTGCCTTCATTTACTTATGGGCACTTCAGCAGTACCACAAAATTCTTATTTTTCCTGTCATGCCTTCTCCACCCTCTTCTCTCTCAATCACTGCCAACATCTGGAGTTCATTTGTCACCTAGACCCAAATCCCAGGATCTGCAAGACAAATGGACCTTAGGAAGACCTTTCTATAATGAAGACAGCTTTTCTATAAGTAGGCAAAAAGCTTTTCAAACTTCTCCTTCTCTTTAGCTAAAACACTTTTCCTCTAGCAAATGCAATCTTTTCAATGCTCTGAATTATTGTGAAGACATTTTCTTACGTTCTTAATTTGACCTCATGAGCACTTTATATACCCATCCATTTTATTTTACAATCACATGAAACAACACTACTGAGTTATTCCTTACCAAATATATCCTGTTATTCACCATAAAGAGGGCAGAACCTTTTTTTGATCAAAGAGACGAACACTGAACAATAGCTAATGAAAGGTGTTATTGCTAAGTACCTGCACGATTTCACAGGATGCCTCTCATGCTTTAAAGGAGTTCTTCTCAAATATTCACAAAGTTATGTCCTATCTTCCTCAAAAATCTCATTATAAAACTTTGCTGTTATACACATAAAATAAATCTGATTTCAGCTAGGCTGCTGATGTGCTGTGACTGTTGCTTATCACACTAACACAGTGTAACTAGTTCTTTGCACTACCTCAGCGGTACCTCCTGCACCCTGGAGCAGGGGCTACCACAGAGCCTTTGAACAGCTCTGTCACTTCTGAATACCCCATCAATACAAGCATTAAATGTCTTTCCTTCATTCCAATATTATATGACACTGCTACATCAAAGAAAATCAAATGACCCTCAAAGCAACACTAACAATAGAGTTTCTCTTTTTTTGTCTTTTAAACTAGAGATGTTTGCTAAAAAACAAGAAGGTTGCTTTTGGAGCCGTTTGTTCCTGTTGCTTATTTGCCAAATAAACTCTTCTGTTGCCTTCCTTTCCAGCAACTGTCTGCTCTCTCAGAGACCTCGTTTTTCACATAACTCTAGTAAACACAGATAACATCACACCAGAGTTACAGAACTCTAACTCAACCTCAATATGCAGCGCTAAAGATCACTGCTAACCAAAGTCCTATCCAAACTATTTGAACATTAATGCATAAACCAGACAGTGAGAAAACAACCACATAGTAATTGCAGCAGAGAAACAACAAAATATCATTACATTTCTAAAACTTCTTAAAACTATAGTCTTCCTCCTTTCCCTTTTTTCCTTCACTTCAAAGAAGCGGATCTTGGTGATCTCCAAGATGGCAGTAACTTATCTCCTCCAGATACAGAAAATTAAATAGATGTAACCACTGGCTTCAACAGTCCCAGACATCTTTGTGCCCTGAAGAAAGTACACTGCTGAAATGTATCACTTGACAACATCTTCTGTCTAATAGCCCAGTGGGGGAGACAGGGGCTGCTAGATTAAAAGCTACCAGGTTACTATACCCACAACCAGTTTCCAAAACCTATAAACTGCTATGTCCTACCTAAGGTGCAATAGATGAAACATTGCTTTATTTTTTTTTTTAGCATTCCAGTAATAGGACTTCTCGCAGCAAAATGGGTAATGAAACCACACCATGAAATGGAAAAACAAAATAGAAACTTAACTGGAAGACCAATAAAGAACTTTGAAATGTCCTCTAGATTTGCCAACCAGGCATCACTAACCAGGTGGTTAAATTCTATCCATCAAGAACAGTGAACCTGACACTCACATGCTTGTGCAAAAATGTATGGTCTGAAAGAAAGTCTGTTCCTTCCCCCACCTTGCTTACTTACTTACAGCCACTGATACTCAGCTGTAGGAGACTGTCCCCCGAAAATAGCAAAACTAAATTTCTTCCAAAATGAACACAATATACAGATTAATTTAAATCACAGATCACATAAATCTTGAAAAGTTCCTGCAACTTTTAAAGAAATTTCCGACTTAAAACTTACTTAAGAACTAAGTTTTCAACAAAAATTTAAAAGCTCCTGCAAGTAACCACTTTTCCTCTTCCACTGAACTCGAGTGTCTGAGGTATGAGATGATTAAGCATCACCTTTTCGTTTACTTTTGCCAACCTGTGTTGTAAACCCCAGACACGATGTTCCCAGCTAGTGATAAAGGCTACTTCTAAGATTCCTTGAGACAAAGGTGCCACTTCTCCCAACACCTTCACATGAGTCACCCAAAGAAGTAAACCAATCACATTCTAGATGAACTGCAAGCATAACTATAACACAACATTTCTATACTGGCTTTCCAAGTCATGCTAGAAAATACTGTATTTAACAAAGTTTAAATCCATTTGAATGTAATTCCTTCATGGTTCTTGACAGATAGGAAAAAAAAAAAAGGCATTACCATGCATTATTGCTAAAAGGCTTTAATTTGATTACAGAAAATAAACAGGACCACAATCATGAATATCTGGCCCAACTGCAGTTGAAAAAAATGAAGTCACATTGATAAGACTCCTGAAATTATGTCAAGAAGATTCAATAGCTTTGAAAGATTACATAAATGGTAACATATTCAAAACTTTCTACTTCCAAGGACAGAAAGGAAAACAGAAGTCCATTTATAAGGCTTCTCTCCCACAAACCATAGAGGGGTACAAAAGAATGGAGATGCTAATATAAAAATAAAGTCAGATTTAAAAGTTAACTTACCATATTTGTCTCGCAAGCCAACTGTACACCTAAAGACTCCACCAAAGGCCACATCTTCACCAAATACGACTGCAAAATAAGAACAGTGGAGGAGGCTAATGTTACTCCAGTGCATCTTATTTTCTGTGGACGTGTTCAATGAACATGTTTATGTTAGACACTTACATAAGTAGCACCTAACATTTCATTTTACTTCAGGATTTATCTAGACTTAAGTGTTTCTTATGCACAGCCTGAATATAACAAATAAAGAACCAGGATCAATGACAAATCAGTACAGCAACACAACCAAGTCTCAAAATAGAATTCATTAAACTGATTCAGCTAGGCTTTCATTAAACCATCTATTTTCCTGAAATAGTCTATAATATCACAGTATCTAAACCTAGATTAATTTTAAAAATCCAAGAAACAATTACATTCAGTCAGTGAAAAGTCATTGTTATTGTGTGTTCTGCTTCAGCTGGTAAGCATTCACATTCTTCATCCACAGTAAACTTGTGTTTTGAAAAATGTATCAAGCTGAAGTTTTCTTAAAAATACGAAGCCAATACGAAATTTCAAACCTTCTCCAAACAGACTTGCCAGACCCCTGAAGAGTAACGTCAGAGGAACTCCTCTACAGAAAAGATGGTTCTCCAATAACCAGGACAACTCTCAGCATTTAACAACATGATGCTTTTAGTATGGGTGATGCAGCCAACACAGTTTTATCACTAAAAGTAATCATTTGTAAAACTTAGACTCATATCAACTTACCTTCTTGGGTTTTTTTTCTTTGAATTTATCAAATGATTATGCCTAACTTTTCTTAAAACAGTTTTGATATTTAATTCACAAAAATAAGGACTGCTCATGTCAATTTTTTTTAACCATGTAAGAGACATGAAGCAGCATCACCAATAGCAGCTTGCATGAATTGGGGTCAGTTCTGAGGATTCCTAAATTTCTCAACACACGCCATATTCTAAAAGACAAAATAAGTTAGGGTCCTTGCCTTTCAAACATTACTTTTATTTAAATAAAAATTTTCTGCTTGGAAGCACTAAAAGGGGTCAATACACTTCTGACAATTATATTAATGACACCACTTAAAGAAAAATAAATTGTATAATGATGTAAAACCAAAGCAGTCATGGAGTATATGGTTGAAGTGTGTCCCCAGATCACCTCTCTAATTCATATTTAATATTCATTTGTGCAAGTTTTTTTAATGTACTTAAAATCTCTGCAAGGACCTTCCACAACCATATGGCCACTCACTTTTGAGCCAGCTGGCATTAAATAAAAAAATCTCATTTAATGCTGGTATTTGCAAACTTGCATGGGTTTACTCATTCTGTTCAGCCACTGAAACTATTTTCCTGGACAGATTCTAATTATCACCCACAGAAGTATGAGCTTTTCCACTACTCACACAACAGTTGCTCAATTCCTATACAACTGAAAACACATGAAGGGCATGCTTTCTATCATAAAAGTACTAATTATTTCAGTAAGTAGGGCGATGCTGACAACTCACACGTCTGGACTGTAGGACTCCAACGTGGTCTTGCAAAGGGCTTTGCAAAGATGCAGCCCTGCAGAGGTGAGGAGAAAAACTGGAACCTCTGAGGGACTAAAAGGCTGAAGATTATACATGAGCTTAGGTCCCTGCTAGGGTACTAGTCTACTTACCTCTATATGGCTGATTCTACAGAAATGGTACTACCATCTGTCCTTGGCACTAATTTACCCTCGGTTCTCTAAGTTTAATTTAATGAAGCTGATTATAAGAGAGTTGTAAATTGAGAAGGAATGTATACAGGCATAGTACTGGACAGACAACAGGGAATTTGTCCTAACAGATCAGACGATTAGTCAGACTTCAGGTTGAGCAGTGGCTCAAGCAGTGCCAAAGAGTTACTAACACACTAACAAGAAACACCAAAGTTACACAAGATCATACAGCTTTTGCAGCTGTGTTCATGACATTAAGCCTCTCTGTCAGATATTCGGCCATCACGCTTTTGTTATGACAACAGAGGCAACAGACTTCCTGTTATGTATAAGAATTAAATGCAGAATAAATAGTGTTGTGCAAAAGAGTTTAGGATAACACTTAAATCAAGCCACGATGAACTAGCATCTTCAAAGTTACAGGTTACCCAGACTGCAAAGCCTAGATGATCTTATATTGCCTATGCACAATGACAAACAGAAATCAGTAAAGCTAGAAAAGATTTTTGGAGGGCAGGGAAGGAAAGGGAGAAGGGACAAGAGTGAGGAAAATATATAGTCTCTAAAAAAAACCACTTTTTTTAGCATAGAGAGTTGAAAGAATTAAAAACCAAGATACACTATTTTAAAAACTCCTTTAGCTTACTGGTGGGACTCAAGCTGCCCTTAAGCACAATTCACATCAGCTTCTGTCCCAACTCTCAAGTGAAATACACCCAGCTAATACTGCAGCCACAACTGCATCTTAGACCACATAAGCTATTAATAATCTGCTAATACATTTTTAAGCTTTGCCTGAGATTAAACTGTAGAAATAACTTCCCAGAACACTTTAAAGGCCAGGAGAAATGCATTTAATATTGTACACAAATAGGCAAAATAAGATGCGATTTTTACAAAGCAAAACACACTAACAAGTAGAGTGTACCTGCAGTCGGATCTTTGGCTAAAGCATTGTCCAAGGCACTTGTTATGGATTGGAAAAGATTCATCTTCTGCGTTTGCCCTGTGTGAAAGTGATTATTTAGCCATTTAACTGGTTCAAAACACAAAGTACATTAGAAAACACTGTTGTAAAACATGACTAAAAACTTAGTGAACAGTCACAAACAACATCCCTGTTAGGACTACCAAAGACTCATGTGCTGAGCAAACTTAAATTACGGGATAGACAGGATTGAACGTGGTACACTTTGCAATGCCACGGACGGTAATTCTACTACTCTACATTCAAGGTTTTTTTCAAAAACTATGGTCTTAGCCAGAGCAAATGCAATTTTGCAATGCTCGGTCAAACATTAGAAGAATGACTAATACAACAGCTTTTTGAGGGAAGAAACCACAGTAAAGCATTACTGTTTGGAGGATTAGGATCCTTTCTGCTAAGATTCACCAGATCTCATCAAGCTTACTTCATCACTCTTTAATTATTTTTTTTAAAGCTCCAGCCTTTCCCATCTACAGACACTTAGTATTACTATTAAAGGCCTCTGCATCAGCCCTTGCAGGGAAGGAGAAATTGACTGTGCCCTTCAGACTGGAACAGCAGAATAAGAAAATCATTATCTTAAAAATATCAGAAACAGCACTGGCATAATAACTTTATTTTACTTTCACTATTTTTCACAGAATTTCAAAGTGTATTTTAAATCAAAGAGAATTAGTATTCTATTAATAAATTGGCAACAAAAAATGGCCTGCCCCACGAGACCTTCTTCACTATGATCTCAAGCAGGGACCTGCAGCACACAGGCTTTATACCAGGATAGTTTGAAGGCCTACACATCCCAATGACTAACAGAAACAGCCCAGAGTTCTCTTAGAGTTAATGACTGTGCTGGACACCAAGGTATTCAACTGAGTAATGCCTTTCTAGAAGAGAGTGTGGTTGATGATAGAGAAATGGGTATTCTGCAGCTGGCAGGCTTCTTCCATAAGAACTCGGCACTAGGGGATACAGAAGTAGTCAGAAAGAAAGTCAAAACACCAACTTTTGTTGTGAGCTGTTCCTTTTAAGTGATCCGTGTTTACTCCCAATGGTATGATCATGAGGATTACCTCAAACCTTTCACTAGACAGCAGCCTTTATTAAACACAGGTTTATTCCCTCATTCACGATTTAAGCATCCGACAAAATACCCAGGGGTGGATGTAAGGATTGCGTCCCTGCTAGAGCCCTATCACGGAAGCAGGGGAGGGGCAGGGGGAAGGGCTTGCAGGTCGGAGCACAGGACGTGAAGGCCTATCGCAGCTACCGCGCCGACCGCCCCAAAACACTTCACCGAACCCCTCCGGGCGGTACCGCCGAGGCGCCACAGCCCGCGGCCCACGGGCGCCTTCTCCCCCACAGCACAGGAAACGCACTCAGGCGGACGCCGCCGCCGCCCGGGGACGCCTC